TTCTTGTTTTTGAGAGCACAACAAGGCTACTGTTGCAGAGATCAAATGGCTGTGTGCTACCCATCCGATGGTTGCCGAGTGGATATTTTCAGATTATCACCGGCCACTCGTAGCGCTGCCTAATATGTGATAAATGCATTTGCAAGAGAATTTCCTTTTCAGTTGAAACATGGAAGATAGGTTGTTTATCACAGTGCACACCTGCCCATTCCTAGCTTGCTTGAAAGATAGGATCTGCAAATTATATTCTTATTTTAATTTCTTGGACGGAACGTCCATATATCTTTTGATGAACATGATTGAATAAAAAATAGTTTATTCAACTTTTTGTAATGCAAAACTTAATTATTACAAATAAGAGGCCTTACTTTAGTTTATAGCGTATTGTTATAATCAAAATCATATTAGAAATAAAGAGACATATTTATGTATCGTTGTTCTGAATATTGTTAGATGAACATAGTAGGGCATCTCCAACGGCAAACTGCAAAGGGCAACCCCTACTTGTCAGACGTCCGCGGACATCCGCTAGGAATGTTGGTACCGAATGATAAACCTCAAATTTATTGAGTTGTCCAGACATTCAAACTAACATAGTTCACGCATGCATAAACATCAAACATAAAGCTCGAGCTAAAACTACTCTAAATTTACCTAACGAACTAGAGGCGAATCTTAAACATTGTCGAGCCATCACCGTCGTCGACGTCGCTCCAACCGTTGTCCTAGTTGTCGGAGTATCTGTCCTGGGCTACGGTGGCGCGCTCGCGGAGGAGCGCCTCGGCCTTGGAAGCTTGCTCTTGTACCTATCGGTTGCTAGGGTTTGGGTGAGTGGCGGAGAGTGGAGAGTGCGAGAGAGGGGCACGGATAAAAAGGGCGGTTATTGGGCCGACATTGCGGTCTATGCAGACTCTCCTACTCCTCCCCTCTACTCGGGACCACACCGGGGGATATTGGACACCTCAGACAGTAATACTGGTGGTAGGAGCCTGTTTGGATGGCATTTTTTGTCCGGACGGTTCAGTCCAGACATATGGGGAGAAGTGGGGGAGCCCGTTGGAGATGCCCTTAGACCGTGCATCAAGATACAAGCAAGATCAAATCACCGTGTAATGAAGGGCTTGGTGGCGTGCGTGCTCACACACGCACATGGAATACTCCTAATTGTAATTCTGACGTTAATATTTAGAGGCCTCAATTCTAGTTTCACCTGGACCCTGAAATTTCAAGACCGGCCCTGGGTGACCATGTTGCTCGATGTGTCAGGTGGGGGGGGGGTGCTCCTACCACTAGTGGAGGAAGTGAGCGCACTACTAGAGGGTGGCAGGAGTGTGTGCGCCATTGGAGTGTGGCAGCATGACCGATGGCATCTACGCGCCAAGGGACTACGACTAGCATGGGAGGCTGATATGTCGCAGTTGTCATTGTCATCCGCATGGGAGTGTGAGAGCACGAGTGGAGGGAGTTCGGGAGAGGTCGGCTATCTTCAGAGTCGGGGCTCAACAAGCCATAAATAGCGCCCTGGACTCAACGATGATGATGCCTTTGCTAAGCTATGTTCTCTACACCTCTTTAAGGTGCACTCAAGTGTGCTAAATCTCCTTAAGGATCACAATGTGGGGTCTCAAACTGGGAGCACCAATGCTTGTGATAAATTTCTTGCAGTCTGAACAAACATGATCTTTCTGAACATTTAGATCCACCGCTACGGCTAGGCCTTCGCTACACGCAACCTCGTCCGAAGTAGAGGGGTCCACCATGTTGACGTATAATGTGTTGCCTGGTCTCTTCCATCAGATTGGTATTTTGGTTGCATTGGCTAGAGCATCAACTTCTACATGGTATCGGAGCCAAAAGGTCTTGAGTTCAAGACCTAGCTGGTGCAATTAAAATTGCAGCCCACTTTCGGTCCACGTTTAGGCCTGAGGAAGCCATACGTGAGGGGGAGTGTTGACGTATAATGTGCTGCCTAGTCTCTTCCATCAGATCGGTTTTTTCGTTGCATTGGCTAGAGCATGCACTTCTACACACCATGCCCTATTCACTCCTATGGAAGTTTACTTTTAAACCAAAGAGGTGCTAAAAAAAATAGTATACACTTCAATTTGAGAAAACAAGTCATCAAGTGTGTCGGAATTGCTTGGGTCACGCCTTAATGAGAATGTATTTTCCTCCGCCGGACAAACACCTCCCCATCCAACCATGTATCCTTTTCCATATACGGCCCTTCAAATACTGGAAAAACGTCATGCTTTTGTCTCCCTACATCAGAAGATAGTCCATGGTACCACTCATTCGGGGTCTCATTTTGTACTTTTAGGACAACCTTATTCTCTCTTCTTCTATCTTCCGGACATCCCTTACCAAAAAATACCGATGACTTATCCAAGTTAACTCTCTATTCAAAAGCATCATAATACTCTTTACTGCATTTATGAACCTTAGTAGATCCTGCCACATTTGCCATTAAAAATATGATACTATTATCTGCAATAACAAGTGCTTCACTTGCAGAGACGTGGGTGCGACCTTTACTCCAGCAACAATATATCATCAGCATTGCCCGCTTTCAATACACATGATAAGCCCTTGTGTGCTAAGAGAAACAAATATGGTGAAATAGGATCACCCTGATGAATTCCCTTGGATGGTTTGAATTCCAAAGCAGGTGCCACATATGAAGAGCATTAAAAAAGTCATGGTGGAAACACATCTCATTACTGACGCCACCCATCTTGGCACAAACCCTAACTTTTGCATTGTAGCCTCTAAATACCTCCGCTCAACTATGTCATAAGCCTTCATCATATCTAACTTTAAACCACATTGAAAATTATCCTTGCTTCTCTTTCTTATTCATAAAGTGCAAATACCAGTATGCTTTATAATATTATCAGTAACGAGCCTTCCAGGAATAAAGGTCGATTGCTCATCCGAGATCACTTCCGGGATGATCTGCTTGAGATGGTTGGCGAGCACTTAGGGTAAAATTTTGTAGATCACATTGCACAAGCTTATTGGCCGAAAGTAAGGAATTTCGGGGGTTTAACCTTGGGAATTAAGACAATGAACGTTCTGTTAACAGACATTGCTCTACTATAGTTGTATAAATTTTAAACATGAATTTAACAGAAAAAATATGTCTATATTGTTAATTTTATCTGCCCCACACACTAGGCAATAATAAGATTAACACCCCAATAAACCTAGCTAAGTCCAGCCTAGCATGATAATATTAAGGAAATGGAGAGCAAGTCATCACATAATAGAGGCCAGAACTTTCGATAAAACAATAGGAAGACCAGCGGACCAGGTGCCTTATTGTCAAAACCTGTCTAATCTCCTCCGTAGTAAATTCCCTATCCAACCACATCCTCTCTTCACCATTCAACACATTAGGAAATTGTAAAACTAAGCTATCATTTACAGCACTACTAACTTCGATTCTTGCAATTGTGTCTTGATTATTGATAGACCTTATTGATAACCGAAACAATATATAAGAACAAGTAGATCATCAATGATCAAGTAAACTAACTGTAGGCCTTATGTTCCCGTATCGATATTATTAGTTGGAAGAAGATGCAAAGTTATTTACGTATATACGCCTAATTTGGCATGGTGTTGACCTTACTTATGTGAATTATCATCATACGAGGGATTGGGATTTCTGAGACGGCTCCTGCTTCTTCGCTCGAGATGGCCGGCCAAAAAACTTCCCTCATTGGTTTGTCTTGTTTTCGTAGGAAACGAAAGTATGCTTGGTGCTATGCCTCGTCAAATCAGTTGGTAACTGCAATCGGGTGTACCATACCTCTTTAACGTCTGTATTTAAGCTGGGATGGAGACAGGCTCACAAATTAGGCACGTCCACACGTGAAGGTGAGGCAAACGTGGGAAAATAGATACTGCTACCTAGGATGGATCAGCAGGTTGGCTGGCGATGCGAAATGACTTATTCGTCGCTATATATAATCAAGTAGCCCGATGTTTGCTTACAGACTGACGGATCCATCTGTTGTCTACAAATTTGAATTTTAATCAGACTTGCTAACAGGACCAGGACCTAGTCTGTTAGAATTTGCACCTGAACCTACAAATTTTAATCATCGCCAATAATTTGCTAGACAAGATTGAAATTAAATTATCCGGGTTTATCATAGAGTATCTTCCTACAGTAATAAATACAACAATTTATTTATTACTGCATTACATATCGAGGATAAGTTTGGCCTCATATCATCAGGTTTTAGTTAAGCGGCGGTACACTTTCAAAAGAAACTTCAGAAGTTTCTCTTACGTACCGAGGTGGGTATCAACATGTGTTAGGGATGGGAGGGCATGATTCAAGGCAGTCTGGTAGTATTTCTTTCACCCAATTGTTCCCTCCGCATCACCAATTAAGTACTAGAATTTTCATAAACCTCTGGAGTAAGCTAAATTAATAGGATCACACTTATAGCGTTTTCGCAATTTCAGCCGCAAACCAAGTGAGAACTGAACTGTCTTGGTTTGGGAAACATTGGTCGCGACTCACGACCAACCAGAACCTCAGCATTTTGAAATGATGGACAGTTTTTTTTACATAGAAGACCGTCAAGACGCGGTTAAGTTAGTCTCGTTCAGTCAAGAAGACTAATTGCGCACACGGCATGCATATTATACAAGGACGCACTGGTGTGGATGTGTGCTGCAATGGTCGCAGCCAGAGGCCGTCCCAGGCATCTGTCCCACGTCAAGCCAGCATAGCTAGCTTTTGTTTCTTTCCAACTTCTGGGTTTCTTGCATTGAGGATTTGATGCCAAACATGTGGCACAAAGCAAGAGCCTTAAGTATATATAGCCCAGTTTTTCATGTATATATGCATCCCCATTTGGATAGCTATAGCTTGGTATTGCTTGGTGCATTTACTCTGCATAGCTCAGTTTGCTCACTTGCTGCTGCGAACGCATCTTCAACCTCGGTACGATTGATCAAGCTGCAGGGGAACATCAATCGACATGGATGTCGCCGCTGTGGACAAGAAGAAGAAGGTGCTGCTGGCGGAGGGGCTGTTGCTCCCGCTGAGCATGGTGCTGGTGCAGGCCTTCACCATGGGAGCCCTCATCCTGTCCAAGCTTGCCTTCAACGTCGGTATGGCGCCTTTCGTCCTCCTCGCCTACCGCAACCTCACCGGTGCCATCACCGTTGCACCCTTCGCCTTCTACTTTGAGAGGTACATACATACTCTGGCCCTGTCGCTTCCTTAGCTAGGTATTTGTTCTGTTCTTGTTTTTTCAGACAGCGTCTCTTCTTTTCTTCATGTCTTATAGACTGTAGGATAGTGTCCTACTCTGTTTTGTTTGACCGAGAATTAGCCTGACAATTACATAAATTTGAGTTGACTCAAGTTGCTTACATAGCACAAAACTTGATGGTGTTCGGATCCAAAACTGTGTTCAGTTTTTAGCAAACAAAGTGCTGCAACCTCTTAGCATTTTTTTTTATTTTGTTCATGTTCACTGAAGTATTTGTCATTTATTCTATCTTTGTCCCTTGTGTGAAGTCCTAGATTTTTTTATATCACCGTCCTGTCAGATTCCATCGTGTCGTCAGATCGACTAAGAGATTTGTTAACACGACTAAGAACTATACATACTAATATTTAAAATTTTGTTGACTAGTCGTAGCAGAACACTACACTAGATTATAGTATTAGAAATAATTTAATAAATTTCAAAATGAACAGAAAACTGCACCACCGTTGTTTTCCCCACATGCTATGAACAACAACAACAACAACAACAACAACAAAGCCTTTAGTCCCAAACAAGTTGGGGTAGGCTAGAGGTGAAACCCATAAGATCTCGCAACCAACTCATGGCTCTGGCACATGGATAGCAAGCTTCCACGCACCCCTGTCCATAGCTAGCTCTTTGTCGATACTCCAATCCTTCAGGTCTCTCTTAACGGACTCCTCCCATGTCAAAATCGGTCGACCCCGCCCTCTCTTGACATTCTCCGCACGCTTTAGCCGTCCGCTATGCACTGGAGCTTCTGGAGGCCTGCGCTGAATATGCCCAAACCATCTCAAACGATGTTGGACAAGCTTCTCCTCAATTGGTGCTACCCCAACTCTATCTCGTATATCATCATTCCGGACTCGATCCTTCCTCGTGTGGCCACACATCCATCTCAACATACGCATCTCCACCACACCTAACTGTTGAACATGTCGCCTTTTAGTCGGCCAACACTCCGCGCCATACAACATTGCGGGTCGCACCGCCGTCCTGTAGAACTTGCCTTTTAGCTTTTGTGGCACTCTCTTGTCACAGAGAATGCCAGAAGCTTGGCGCCACTTCATCCATCCGGCTTTGATTCGATGGTTCACATCTTCATCAATACCCCCATCCTCCTGCAACATTGACCCCAAATACCGAAAGGTGTCCTTCCGAGGTACCACCTGGCCACCTGGCCATCAAGGTTATACATCAACAGCTAGTAGTACTGAAACCGCACATCATGTACTCGGTTTTAGTTCTACTAAGCCTAAACCCTTTCGATTCCAAGGTTTGTCTCCATAACTCTAACTTCCTATGAACAATCGGTGAAATTTATTTTACTAACCTTATATTATACTCCCTCCATCCCATAATATAAGAGCGTTTTCGATACTACACTAGTGCCGAAAACGCTCTTATATTATGGGACGGAAGAAGTATATGCTAATGCAGGTATACTGTGGTTTCTAGTTTTGAACAACAACAAAGTTGGTTCTACGGGTTTCATTTCACCCACATAGGCAGTTCCAAACATACTGACGGTCAAGTAGAAAGTTCAATTGTGAAAAGAACATAGCATACTAGACTATTTATGTTTAGATTTCAAATTTACGTAGTCATTTGGAATGGCAATGACAAGAAGCACCAAAACTTTGTACTTATCAGAACTTTTGTCTTTACATTTCGAGGAAAGAAAACTAACAAGAAATAGAAAGAAATCAGATATACGCGTGTGTCAAGTGTTAGAAGAATGATAGAGACATTTCAACATTGAATCATGACATTTCCATGTGTTTGAAAAAAAAATTGAGCAAGTTTGTTAAGTACGTGCACAGCTAGTATCACGCAATTTCAGCATCGTCTCGGTTTAGTAAGACATGTGGTGGACAAACATGAAAATCGGTGCTTTCCTTTCCGTTCTATATACGTACGTTAGATACATCAATCGGCCTTGTTGTTGATGTATAACCGTATACCGATTCGGAAAGAAAACGCTGCTGCTGATCTATCACCCATACAGGAAATAGTATGCGTCAGGTCGAACTTTCTTGTTGGGCATCAGTCACATTCCACTTCATTGGTGCTTCCTTTGTGACGATCGGCAGGTCAAATTTTCTTCAGGAATACAACAAAATAATCTCGTATCACAGCACAATTTCTTAAAAGTTACACTTGAAATGGAACATGCTCGAACCGAACATACAAATTTCTTAAACCGTATCTTCGTTATATTCAAGTTGTTTTGACATACGGAATTTTCTCCAGGAATTTTACACTTACCATGAGTGATGAATGCAGGGAGATGATGAAAAAGGTGAACTTGAAGGTATGGGGCTGGATCTCCATCAACGCTTTGTTTGGGTCAGTACTTGTCCCTTACTTTGAACAACCCTGTATATATATCGTACGTCCAGCATTCTAATTTCTTTTGGCAATTTGACATCAGAATTGTGCTAGCAATGGGACTGCACTACTACGGCCTGCGCGCCACCAATGCGGCCTACACTGTCAATTTCCTTAATGTGATCCCTGTTGTCACCTTTATCATTGCTATAATACTCCGGTAAGTTACATACATTGTCTATTAATCTGCATTGCCTAACTCTGTTTCAAAACGGATGGAGTAGTTATTTACTACATCACAGGTGCACAAATAAGGCCATCATGAACCTAACTTTATTGCATAGACACATGTGCTGACTACTGACCTGTATGACCATTAGGCCATGTAATGTTGGGAATGGATCTGGCTTCATTGATCTGACAGTCTGAAAATGCTGGTCTACAAACCTATTCAGAATAGAGCGGCTGAAGATTGGCACATGCCCAGGCAAGATGAAGGTCATCGGTGCGGCGATTTGTGTGGGGGGGACCATGGTGATCAGCATGTACAGAGGCAAGCTGCTGCATCTCTGGCCTACCCACCTTCTGAAACCGGAGCTGCAGTCGGTTGGTGCGGCATCCTCTGTCCCTGACCACCACAACATGCTCATCGGCACACTGTTCTTAGCCGGCAGCTGCCTCAGCTACGCCTTCTGGTTCATCATACAGGTTCATCTAGCATAGTATCATACAGATTCTTCATTCATGTCGCAGCAATAATACACTTGTGAATTGTGATGATACAATTAATTGTACCTTCCCAAGAGTTTCGTTAAATTTCCAATTCAAATGAACTAAATTGCGCAGGTTCGAGTGTCCAAGGAGTTTCCGTCCAAGTACTTCTCGACAATGCTGGCGTGTGTGTCGGGAACCGTGCAAGCGGTGGTGATCGGGGTCATTCTCGACAGGCGTCCAATGGCATGGGCGCTCAAGTGGAATCTGCAGCTGCTCACCGTCGTGTACTCGGTAATTAAGTGGCCAGTAGCAATTTGATGTGACCATTCGTGAGCTCATCAAGCCTCTTACATGGATATGCTACAGCTTGCACGGTCTGACTACTTTGCACATGCGTTATTCAGGGGGTGTTCAACACTGGCATCACCTTTTGCTTGATCTCGTGGGCCGTGTCTCGTCGCGGGCCAATATATCCTTCCATGTTCAACTCGCTGTCGCTGATAATCACCACGGTCCTCGATTCGGTGCTGCTTGGCACCGATGTGTCTGTGGGGAGGTGAGAATGGATTTCTGTCATGCGCATCTTCAGAAATTGGATGGTCGTATGGGATGCATTTACTGTAGCGAATCCGGCAAGCTGCTAACAGTGATGTTACTGATGCATATATATCGAAACCTGCTTGTGTTTCCAGCTTGCTGGGAGCGCTGCTGATCATCATCGGGCTGTACGCCTTCCTCTGGGGGAAAGGGAAGGAAACGCAAGAGCAGCGCAAGCAAACCAGAGAGGCGGCGAACGGAAATGGGAGCGCGGCGGGCAATGGACTGGACAGCGTGCAGGTTGGGAAGCACGAGGTGCGAATTCGCGTGGAAGTGAGCTAGCTAATTATACAGACACATATATAGACAGTATTTGCGCAGAAGACAGATGAAAGGAGTCAAATCAAGATGAACAAATCTCTGAGATCAGATGTATATACATATGTATGTATGTCTTATGCAAGACTCTTATTTTCTCAAGATAAGAACAACTCTAATAGATTCTTTAAAATCCTCCCACCCTCTAAAATCGTCAAAAAATAGACAAAACAGACTAACATATTCCCATAAAGCATTCATATCCCTAGAATGTTTACAGGTTCCTCTAGGCTCTAGCCCCCCCTCCCCCCACTAGGTAAGAAGGGGGTGTAGAGGGCACTATGGACTAGTAGTTTTTTAGCAAAGAGTAGTTTGGTTGGTGACCTGGGCTCTTCGTACCTGGGGAAAACTAGCGCCTGGCATGGGCCTGAATTTGCGTTGATTTGTGCTTGGCCGGGCTAGCCTGAGCTTGGAGTGCTATGCCCTAGTTTTGTCTCCCGATTAGGCCCTAGGCTGCTGCCACGCTACTTGGCGCTAAGTACTTCATAATTTTATTTGATTGAGCTAGGCTAATCAAGTTGCTAGGGAGGGCCAGGCCAGACAATCTATTTTCCTTTCAGGGCACCAAACAAACAGTTGCACGTTCCAGGCACATGCCAGGCCAGGAATGTTGTGGTATCGACACAAACCGAACTAGCCCTGGAGTTTTCACGCCCAACTCCTGCCTCCTACCACAGGCCACCTCGTCGTGCCACCGCTCCCGGATGTCACACCGCTCTCCACACCTTTGTGGAGCCATTGTCGAGGGTATTTCGTCGAGTACCTAACAGCAGTACGGTAGTTGCACACGGATTTTGTTTAGTAGCGGGGTGTTGCCTCATGTCGTCAGATGAACACGGGGTACAAGGTGACCCAATGTTTGGGCTCCATGATGGGGATAATATCCCTACTCCTACTTATATGAGATTAGTTTGAGACAAGGAACAAATAGAGGTTACAACTAGGGTCTATTTGAGTTGGTCAAGCTATATATAGGCAATCCATACGAGATGTCGAGATCAAATTGGCTAAGGTGTATAATCTATGTCTTGGGTAGATCTTGTGTGTCCCCTCCTCATGGCACCAGGTGCCCTTTTAGATGGGGCATAGTTAGGTTGGCTTGGCCTTCCTTCGAAGTACTCTTGATGGTCCATGATTTGGACTCCTCCGAGTTTGGTAAGTCTACTGCTCATCTTGGAGAAACCAGGGTGGCACGCCTGTTGAAGTCGGTTGCTCTCGGGTATGGGCCGATAAACCTGTGCATATAGGCATAAATATGGAACATACAATATTTGCTGCACAAGGATATGGTGGTAGTACTTTTCGATGGTGTCTCCATTTTTGACAAATAAATAATGATTAGAGAGTGAAAATCGGTAAAACCTTGAGAAACTATAAGAAATCTTCTGAAAAACTCTATAAATGGAGCCATCAAACCCCCAAAGCTTAGAGCCTTCTCAACCTCGAGAAAATCAAAGATAAAAATGAATGAAGAGGAACTTGACGTAAATAAAAAAAAGTCATACCGGTCTGAGGAGATATAGTATTATCGTCATCATGATTCCTGCTTCCTTAAACAAGATGATATAGAATATTTAAAAGGTTGCACCTAACCGTGTTGCCTAACCATATAGAATCTACTAACAAAGATTTCAAGTTCCTCTCTCAAGTCTTAAGAGTTAGCTTAGCAGCAAAAACAAGTCGAAATCACATCTCTTTTTTAGAGTGAAAACATTTTTAGCACACAAGGAATTTCACAGTTTAAGATGTAGATGAAGAGTATGATCAAGTCGATACTTTCCTCCACTAAGGTTTCATTATCAAATCTCCCTACCTTGATCTGAAGTTAGTGAACTTAATAAGGAAGCAATGCTTGGCATTATGTTATAATCAAGTTTAAGGGCCATAATCGTCCATCAGCAAGTAATGCGGCCATTACAAAACACCCTTAAATCGGTGGCCAAGTGGGGCGCAAATCACCAACAAAATAAGTTGTTCCATGTGTTGGTCATTTGGCCGAATATGTAACTTGTTAACCATGTCCTCTTTTGCTACCCTCCCATGCATGCACATTGTACTTGAGGGTGGAGAAGAAGCACTTCCTCCTCCTTCATTGTTGGTTGAAGTTGAATGCGCGACATAAGTGGCTCTTGTCCGTTGCCCATCCTCACAAGACCGGCGGCATCGGCAATATAAGATGAAGATGGTGATCCAACTGACCCAACAAAAGGAGAGACGACCAAGAAGGTTAAAAGGGGGATCTAGGGGAGGAAGTGAGAGAAGGAGAAGTGGGAAGGGGTGGCGGCCAAGATGACAGAGAGGTTCAAGGACTTCATGACGAAGGAGGAGGCATGTGTCAAGCGCCATAACATCAAGGAGAAAAAGGAGAGGTTTGACATCTTCATGGTGGTGACGGAGATCAACCTCAAAAAGAAGAATACCAACTCGGAGAGAAGAAGACCAAGCTTGAAGATAGGAGGGTTGAGCTCGCGGCTGCTTCAGAGGAAACCAAAATGTTGACCATGAAGCTGGAAGAGTTGGATCTCGATGCGACGAACATCGTGCAAGCCGTTCGTGTAGGGATCTTCAAGCTCTTGGAGGCAGAGATGGAGGAGGCGGGCATAGGCGCCACCAACAAAGAGATGAGGGAGGATGCACAGACAACTCGTCTGGAAGGGCAAAATTGACGCTTTTTTGCATGGATTGCCGAACTGAAACTTTTGTGATCAGACGCGTGTAAGAACTTATGATCATCTATTGCTTTTTGTTTGTGATGATTTCATATTGATCAACATATGAACTTCAAGTGAAGGAGCCCGAACATGGTGTGGATGTTTTGGGCTTGCGGTGGAATATTCCTAGATTTAGTTTAGTCTTTTCGGTGATGTTCGGGAAGAGACGTTCACGTCGACTACTAAGCGCTTGTGATGACATCATCAATCTCGAAATGTTATGTCGACTTAGTATCTCAAAGTGCTTATAGGGATAGGGTGTGCGTGTGTTTATAGGGTGAGTGTATATGAGCATCTGTATCTAAACATATATTTCCTCCGTCTCATAATATAAAATGTTAGTGATAAAAACGCTCTTATACTATGGGACGGAGGGAGTAGTTTCCTTTTTTTGAATTATTTGAGATATAAAGTAACCTTATCAACTTTGGTCAAGGAAAATAGGCTTTGTGTCTCTGTGTAGCCCAGGAGCTATTTCCACTTTAG